GGACAAATGTGTCACATGAAACCATAGGATGGGACACTTCAACTTACTCAAAGGTTAGCAGCACTCCTCTTTGAAATGCCAAGCTTGAAGTGGACTATGTTCTGCATCATATCCGCCTCTAGTCATGTGTGGATGTTAGTATTTCTCCAGTGAAGCATTAAGTGCAAGATCCAGAAACAGGTCTCAAATTAAGGGAATCATCTAGGTCCCTGTGCAGACTGTGATAACTATTCCAAGTTAGTTCCAGGACATATGTAAAGAAAAATAGCTAATGCTGACAAGCCCTTATTTTACATATTCTGCACCTTTAAATCTCAATCTTATAGATGTGGTTGCCTCAGGAGACAGGTACCATTTTGTTTTTCAGGCTGTGGTGAGTCATGCCAATTGTATCCTCCCAGAGGGAAAATTTCCATTAGCACTATGTATTTTCCCCAAATGTTATTCAGGCATCAAATAAAACCTCCTGTCAGTGTTCAAAACACTCGCATGAAAGAGAATAGCGTAATAAGAATGCAGTGAATTTAAAATCCTGTGCCTAGCCTAAAGAGTTTTGGTCTTTGTTTGTGGGCCCCCCAAATGTACAACACTGCCTTCAAAATTTAACAACACACTTTAATCTTTGGTTAATGACATTTTGTGAATCTCTATTTCAGATTTGCCATTCTGTCTCGGTGGTGACCAAGTCCCCCCAAATATAGCCCGCTTAATGGGAATTTCATGTAATCCCCATCAGTGGTCTGTCTGAGAGGGAAACAGAAAAATATCAGGTAGGGCTGCCAAGGTGCAGCGGGGGATCCACACGTCTTCACAGGATCCCTGCCACGGGGGACAGCGATACGCGTTGCACCACCGTCGCCAGGATGTGACGCTATGCGTCGCTCTGGCAATGGGGCTGTTTGGAGTCCCGTTGCCAGAGCAACGCGTAGCGCCACATCCTGGCGACGGCGGTGCAACACGTATAGCTGTCCCCCGCGGCAGGGATCCTGTGAAGACATGCGGATCCCCCGCCGCAGCTTGGCAGCCCTAATATCAGGTAGTGATTGCTGAACAGAACATCGAGGGCTTCTGATACAGGGGTGTGGGATCTCTGTCTGTTATGCAGAAATGTTGAATTAAAAGGGGTTAAAAGACATCTTTTTTCCTATTAAAAAAATGAGGGATGGATGTCCTGTACAGGATTAATGTGGGAAATAGGGAGCTGAAACTACTTGGCACTGAGCTATGTAACAGCACCTGGTAAATAACATCCCAGTTAGCCCCTATCTGCTGATCACCTATGTAGCGGCATCTGCCTATATATTTGAACTGTTAGCTTCCATTTCCATGTATCTGAAGAAGTGTGCATGCACACGAAAGCTCATACCTTGAATAAACATGTGTTGGTCTTAAAGGCACTACTGGACTCAAAATTTGTTCTTTTCCCCTCCATGTCATTAGTAACCCTACAAGGAACCACACTGAAAGGGCAGTATTTTTGTCCTCAATCCGAAGCTGCCTTAATGTCTGAACTTTCCTGGTGCATCTTAAGTATGCAGAGGAACACATATAGCCATCTATGCGTGAAATTGTTGCAGAAGCAAGCTGAAGACAAGATCCCACCACACATTAACTCCTCCATGCATGTTCCTTTCGATTAGAGCTTTCACTGCTATCCTGAGACTCAGCCCCGCTCGATTGCTGACATTAACATGTTACTATCACTCTGTTGGCAATTAACATCCTTCTCCTAACACAGCATTTCCCTTTTTGCTTCCTTCCTTTCAAAAACCACGTGAGCCTTTTCATCTGGGGAACAGAGCTTGTGACTTGCTTCAGCATTCTGATGCCTTCACAGTTAAATTGGGGTTTGGACGTGTTCCTCCAGGATTAGAATCCAAAGCACTACCGGCTTGTCCACATTGACCACAACTTCTTTCAATGTATCTGTCAGAGAAGGATACGCACACAACCCTGTTTACTGCTTTTGATGTGACATCTAATGTCAATACGTCTCCCGCTTCTGATAGGTCAAAGACATTGCAGTTATCATTGGGAAGGGAAGAGGGAAGTGTTTGGCCTGATGGAGATTCTCCAAAGGGAGTGGAGAACAAGGAGAAGTCCCCAGAAGCAGAAATGTTAATTGTCTTGCTTTTGAGTTTTGGCAGCAGAATTAGAATGTTCATCTCAGAATGTCTCAGGATTGTCCAGCGAAGGTGAGAAAGTACAGAGGGACACTTCGATGGCCAAGGGCAAATGATCAGAAAGCCTTCTTTGCCAATTTCCCATTTTGACGCTAATCACAGATATGGCTGTGCTAGAATTTCCTTCCCTGCAATTTGTTTCTTAAAAACACCAAGTGTCAAAGCCACAAGCTGCTGGGATGCTAACTGTTTTCGGTTCCAAATGCTCTTAATAGTTTAATGATTTCTGTTCACAATTACACAAAGCTATTGCAACAGTTCATCAATGATTGCTCATAGGATGCTTGGCAAGTGGAAGGAATTAACAGGAATAAATGTTTGCTTTTCTAAGGAAGGGGTTCATGTGGCCCCATGGAACTATCAACACATCAGAGAAGGAAGATAACACGGACAGCTTGAAAGCCATGTCATCATTGTTCTCCTTCTTTCCCAGAGACCGATTTCACACAAGAGCTGCGCCACGGTCGCGCCTCCCTTTGCCCCGCTTCTATTGGTAAATTTTCCAGTCGAAGCCGTGTGGCCGTGTTTTGACCCATGGCTTCGCCTGATTTCCCCCGCTGTTTTGTGATCCTCAAAAAACAGGATCACAAAACCGTGGGGAAAATCGGGTGAAGCCGCGGGTCAAAATGCGGCCACATGGCTTCGAGTGGGAAATTGACCAATAGAAGCAGGGCAAAGGGAGGCACGACCGCGGTGCGGCTCTTGTGTGAAATCGATCAGAGTTGAGACCAAGCCGGCATTTTACAAGCCATGTCTTCCATCCAAGAAGGCTTTGACAGATACTTTTCAGGGCTTTTTTTCTGGGGGAACGCAACAGAACAGATTCCTGGAACCTCTTCGACAAAATTATTTTTAAAGTGTTTTAAAGTTCATGAGCTTTCAGTGTGCAGATTGAAAACTTCATTTCCCTCTTGAGAGTTTCAGCACATTCTTTTTTTTTGTTTGTTTAAAGCCCTGCTTTTGTTGGGAGAAAGAAAGTTTGCAAAATCTCAAGTAGACTAAAATGAGCAACTTCCAAATTCTAGCCAGGAGTTATAACCCAAAAAGATGTCATTCTCGAAGCAAACAGATGACTTGAAATATAAGCAATGATAGACCTATGGGGCAAGGAAAAACAAAAACAAAAAACACTTCCTGTACATTAGTTTTGTTTAGTTCTGTGTACACATTCCAATGACATGCAGTGTGTATAGAACAGAGTTTGAGTCCAGTGGCACAAGCGTGGCCTCCAATCTACACCTGTTTATTAGGTGCATATAGCGTAAAGGTAAAGGTTCCCTTGCTCGAAAGCCAGTCGAATCCGACTCTAGGGTTGCGGTGCTCATCTCCGTTTCAAAGTCAAAGAGCCAGCGCTGTCCGAAGACGTTTCCGTGGTCATGTGGCCGGCATGACTAAACACCAAGGTGCACGGAACGCTGTTACCTTCCCACCGGAGTGGTACCTATTTATCTCCTTGCAATTTCTTGCTTTCAAACTGCTAGGTTGGCAGGAGCATATAGCGTAGGTATGCGCAAATGTTTGCTTATACATACCCAATTTTTTCTTCCCAATGGGGACCCGAAGTAGCTTACAAAATCATTGTCCCCTCCTTCATGTTACCCTTATAACAACTTGTCAAGGAAAGTTAGGAAGAGAGAGAGAGACTGACCCAAGGTCCCCCAGCAAGACTCTATGGCAGATGGGGCATTCAAATCTGGGTTTACCAAATCCTAGTCTGATACTACAACCACTACACCATGCTCGCTATGTGCACACAGCTCTCTCTACATGATCTGGAAATTGCTTCGACATGTGCTCTATTCCAGTGATCCCCAGTGTGGCACCTATGGGTGAAATCGTGATCTCTGACATGTCTCCTGGCACCCATTTGCTTCTTCCCCAAAGCAAATAGTCAGTCTTGGTTTTCATCCACCTCATTAGAGCAGGAAGTGCTTGCACAGGAAGAACCATCACTGTTCTTGAACAGAGAACCAATCCAGAAACAGTTGTCCTCATGATAGAAGGATGCTTGGCTTGCAATTGGTCCTGATCCCTATGGCAGCCATTTTGTGATTGCCTCCCATGGGAGCCCATTTGTGGTGGTGCCCATGCCCCATTCTCAAAATCCCATTAGTGGCCACTGGGTTAGCAAGAGTGGGGGCCCCTGTTCTATGCATACATCTCAATAAATGTCTATAGGCTGTGGACAAGAGCATCTTGCAAGTTGGCCGCCAGTGGATTGCATCAGGCAGGAGACTGGTGGGAGGGGACATGATGAGACACTGTTGGAGTGGCAAAGGTAAGTCACTTCTGGGGTGATGCACTGACGTATCAGTCTAGGAATCGCCCCAAACTCCATGGTTCTACCACAGAGTTTCTGTTGAATCCTTCAGTGCTGTGTTGATGCAGTGATGTCACTTACAGGTTCACCTTGGAAATGACGCCATGGCATTGCTCTGATGCTACTTTTCAGAGCAATTTTCCCCCTTCTGTCATGCTACAGAGCAGTGGTGGGGGTTGGGAATTGTTCCCATCATTGCAGGAGACCTGGAAGCCCTGCTGCCCCCCCCCCCATGTGCAATCATGGTACACATTTGGGACACATGAAAAGGGCTCCTGAGAGTGTGCAAGGAGGAGTCTTCCAGAGATGTGTTGCCCAATTTAGTAATAAGAATTACAGTTTTTGAATAGTAGGAAGTCTGAAGATTCTGGACTTCTTCTGGGGAGGGGGAGAAGAGACAGAAATTACTGGAGGTAAAACAGTAAGATCAGAGGAGATGGGAGTCTTTTCTGGCTGGAAAACCCAGTGACAGCGACGGAGGCAAAGACATCACTTACCTTCAGTCATTCGCCGATACTTCTCCTTGTACATGAACCCAAAGACCAGACAGCATCCTCTCCTTGGGAGACCAAGCTCTACAGAAAAGAGAAAGAAGAAATGATATGATATGATATATCAGCAAAACCATCCAACACAAATTATCAGTACTTGGCATGGAGGCCCTGGGGCAGTGAAACATCTGGAGGGAAAATACATGGGATGGTAAGGGGAAGCAAACAACAGAAATAGGCTAACTTAATAAGGATATTTGCCTGCCAGACAAAAAGTAGTTCTTTTTAGGTCCTAATGAGATGAGATGCTGAAAGATCCAGCTTGCTTTTGATCATCAAAACACTGCAGGGGTGAAAGGGTTTGAGCCTTGATGTCCAAATGGAACCGAACCTCCATGCCCAGATGAGACATTAGTCTGAATGCCGCTTTCTGGGAAGCATCCACAGGGGTGGGTGTTGGCTTCTTTGCCTTGCTTGTAGGCCTTCTAGGGCATTTGGTTGGCCAATGCGAGAAACAGGATGCTGGACTGGATGGACCACTGTTATGATCCAGCAGGACTTATAATGTCAAACCCCTTCCATGCCCTGTGCCACAGCCCAGCTGACTCCCCACCCCTTGTGTGTGACTGCTATTCCCCCTCAACAATGCTGGGAAGATCTCTCAGACTTCCGATCACAGATCTCACAGAATCTTGCCTTTTTTTAAAAAAAGGCTCTTTGTCATATGCGCAAGAGGGTTCATACCAGCACCAAAGTACGACAAATACACCTTGCCAACCAGAAAAAATAGAAGATGGAAACAAACAAGTGCAGGGGTAGCGCTCTAAATACAGCGAGCTAGAAAATGACACAAGCCAACACTGAGGCCATCAAATAGAAGCCAGAGAGCATAATTTCGCCAATAGGCCCTGACAGCACGTGTTTCATGGATGAGGCTTAAATCAATCCCCCCCTGTCATGACTCAAATAAAGCCTACATGCCCAGAACCTAAATTTAAAATGGTTCTTTTCTGCATTCCATTCCACATTTGCCATATGACACAAATTTAGCACAAGAGGATCTCAAAGGCACATCTTTAGCACAACGTGCAGGAACACCTTCAACAATAAAACAATAAAAAGAGTCTGCATGTGATCCTCACAATAGTCCTGTTCTGATGACCGGTGTGTCAATTTCTTTCTTTTCTTTTTTAAAAAAATGCATGCTACTTTTTGGCCATATGGCCCCCATAGCACTGAACAATAAAGGATACCTAAGCAACAAATTGATATACTAAAACATAAAGCAGGTAAGAATCGGCAAAGGAAAAACCAACCAACAGAAACCAGAAGAAAATATCACATGAACACACAAAGCTGCCTTAGCCTGAATCAGACCCTTGGCCCACTAAAGTCAATATTGTCTACTCAGACTAGCAATGGCTCTCCAGGGTCTCAGGCAGGGGTCTTTCACATCACCTAGTACCTGGTCTTTTTTAACTGGAGAGGCTGGAAACTGAACCTGGGACCTTCAAGCAGATGTTCTGCCACTGAGCCCCTCCCCCTTCACTTCCAGAATCTATATACTAATAGCGAAAGGCGCCCCTGTGTGCAGATATCTAAATCCGCACATCGGGGGCACCTGGAGGGCAGGGAGATTTTCCTGCACACTTGGGGCAGTCCCCAGGTGTGCACAAAAATCTAAAAAGTTGGAAAAATACGGGGGGATATTTAAATCCCCCCCAAATTAAAAGAGCCTTCCCTGTGCATGTGCAGGGAACACTCTGGGAACTCTGTGGCAGGCTGGCGGTTGGAAGCTGTTCAGGCCTCGCCGCGGGGGGGGCGGAGACCGCCAGAGCCAGGAGGGGAGGAGGAGATCAGTCGGGGCAGCGGAGGAGGAGACCACCGGAGCCGGGGGGAGGAAGAGATCAGCAGGCCCAGTGGCTGGTAGGGGGTGTGTGGAGACCAGAGACGGGGGGAATTGGTGGGCTTGGTGGCTGGCAGCCACTCTGGCCACACCGCCGGTGTTCAGGGATGGGGGGGGAGGCTTACTTGCTGCTGCTGCTGCTTCCTTCTCCTCCTGCTCTGTGTGGAGCTCTTCTTCCCCCCCCCGCGAGTATCACGGGTCCCCTTTCTTGTTTTCCATATTTCAAATCAGAAAGGATTAACACCATCATCCCATAAGGACTTTCCTAGAAGTGAGCCCCACTGAATTCAGTAGGATTCTGAGAAGACCTGCTTGGAACTGCATTGTCGAATGGCCAAAAGCCCACTGGAAGAGGAGGGCCACATTACATTACATGCTTTTTAACTAGCTGTGCCCGAGACCCAGCTTGGTTTCCCTGCAGCCATATAGGTGGTGGCTGGAGATCTCCCACTATTACGACTGATCTCCAGGTGACAGAGAGCAGTTCACCTGGAGAAATGGCCACTTTGGAAAGTAGACTCTATGGCATTATACCCCATGGAAGTCCCTCCCCTCCCCAAACCCCACCCTCCTCGAGCTCCACCCCCAAAATCTCCAGGTACTTGCCAATTTGGATCTGGAAGCCCTATACACAGCAGCTATGGGGAGTATCATTTCTGAAGCCTGTGGGACCCCGATTCAGTTTCTTGCCATGGCATGTGTTGCGTACTAAGGATGAGTCAGCCTCAACTAGCCCTGAGGTCGGGTAGAGCTTGCATCCACAAACAATAGCTGGCTAGGATCCTATAATGGACCAACAGAGAAACAATGTAATGTAATTGGGAGTGGGGTGTGTTTGGGGTGTGGTGTCTTGCATGCTTAAAAATCAGGCTTCTGTCAGGGATTTCCAGTCTTTTTTCTCCTTGCTGAAATCACTAATAAAGAGAGCTGATCACCAATGTTCCCTCTAAGCTGTGGAGTCTTGTGAGCAAAAATTCTACTTTGTGAGCTATTGGCTTTAAGGTTGTGAGCGAGCGATTTGGCTACTGTGTAAATTGGTTTGCCCTGGAGCCCTCCTTCCTGAGCCAAGACAAAAATGTGTGAGCCGGAGACTAAAACAATGTGAGCTAGCTCACACTAGCTCAGCTTAGAGGGAACACTGCTGATCACTATACTTGGGGTCTGTTCATCCATGGAACCCATTATTTAATAACATGGCAGGAGGGGGGGGGTTCCTGCCTCCCCCCCCCCGCACCATTTCCCTTAGCCTTAAGGGTCCAGTGGAGAGTTAGTTGTAGAACTTTGGAGCTGCACATGGTGTATTCCAAGCCTATGGATAAAAGTTGTATTCTGATCAATTTTGCTAAGCTCCCCGTCCAGCTTTTCTGAAGCCGGGGACTGAAAACGGAGGGAAATAATGGATTCTCAAACAACAACAGATGTTTCATTTCACTGTCCTGCTAAGCCTGGTGCATCGATGCTCCCCCATCCCTGCTGTCTCCAAATGTGTGCTCGGGCTGCCAAGAAGCCTCAGCAACCAACAGGAAGTGTGTGTCTCCTCTAATTCCAATGCCAACTCATCCAGGCCTCTCACCTGAATGGTATATAGACGGGCTGTTTAAAAATCCAAGGTATTATCAGCACCTGACCAACTCGCACTCCCCAAAGGAAAGTCCTTCCTGAGTGTTTGCTTTGTGTGGCTCCGTTGATGCCAAGTGGGATGCGCCTATAAATCTCCGCTCTTCAACACATGCAAGTAATGAGAGCTCTGTAATCCCCTTCACTTAGCATACCCTGTGATAAAATGGAACACAGAACCTTGAAGGAAAGATAAATCTGTCTCCAGGCTCGGTGCCCTTTCAAAGCAAAACAGCTGGCCCTTAAAGTGGCTGAGCGCCAAGGCCCGAGGAAGTACATGCCTTTGATCTCTTGCTTTCTTCCAGGAGGTGCCTGGCTATCAGTCGACAAGCAGAGAAATGGATCTGAGCGTGGATTTTCTGAGGAGGCGGCGGGCTGTGTGTTTTTCTGCCTGCACTCTGCGTGTGCGTGCGTGTATCTTGCAATGCACCTTGCAAAGTCTTGCAATGCACCTTGCAAAGTCTTCAAACAAACCTTCCCATGTTACAGTGGGGAAAAAATTAAGGCACCATGTCTCTGGACGCTGCCTGCCTGTGGCCCAAGATATACTACCAGGGCTTTCTCATTCCATACAGCCCTATTGATCAAAGTCCTTTTGATGTTTACTCAGTGTGCCTGTGGTCCTGTTTTATAGCCAGCGCTTCCTTTGAAAAGAGTTACTGGAGGTTCAGGTCTGCCGGAAAGCAATGCCCTCCAACCCAGATCTACTTCTGCTCTAATCATCCCGGATGCACAGAGGCTGGCTGTAGTAAGTGGCACAAGAAAGGCAGTCTGCACGTGTTTCCTTGCCAATTCACGTGTGGATAGAAGAAAGAGCAGCAGCAATTGAATCCTGAGAAATTGGGAAGTCGGGATGTGGAATGGTATAGTATAGCCCGATCTCGTTAGATCTTGGATGCTCTTGGATGGGACACGCCCAAGAAAGACTTTGCAGAGGGAGGCAGTGGCAAACCACCTCTGCTTCTCACTCTCCTTGAAAACCCTGTGGGGTTGCCATAAGTTGGGTGCAACTTGATGGTACTTTACACACACACTATTGGGAAGTCACTTCCCAGAATCTAACACAGACTTTTCCAGATAGGTTCTAAGCAGTGAAGGTGAGCTGCCTTAGGCAAGAGTGACCAATTGGGCCTGTCTTTCAAGATATTGTCCTCCTTTCCCATTATTTGCTGTCACACAGTCTTCATGAACCTGTAATGAAATTGCCAATTCAGAGAATTAATTATAGGTAGCACTTGTAACACATAGAGTTGCGAGCTTTGGGTGGGAGCCTGGGGAGGGGAGGGTTTGGGGTGGGGAAGCACCTCAATGGAGTATAATTCCATCAAGTCTACCTTGCAAAGCAGCCATTTTCTCCTGGGACCTGATCTCTCTAACCTGCAGATCAGTTGGAAACCTGGGAGGTCTCCAAACCACACCTGGAGGCTGGTATCCTAGTAACATGTCAGTGGGTTGGATCACAATGAAATTTCCCACTAATAGAAGGCACTTCTGTCAATGGGAGAGGATTTTCCGGCCTCTTTCTCTCTTCCATTGTGGCCTATTGACCTCCCTGAATGCTGCTTCTGGGGGATAGGGGACCCACACAAATGGCATGAAAGGCAAATCAGTGGTCTGCAACAGGAAGAGGGGATTGGCGGATATTACACTTCCCCTCTTGTTAGCAGAAAATTTAGTCTGGCTTCAACACACACACCTTTCAATTTCTTTTCAATGGCAAGGGCACTGTCACTGCTGGGTCAAAAAGGAAGCAACCACATGTGTCAAAGCCACCTTCAAAATTTGCCCGACGTAAGGACAAGGCATAATTTTGTACCAGACTGGCAAGCATCAAATAGAAGTGCATGAATACAAGTTCAAGCATGGACGGCTTCAAAAGGGAATTAGATAAGCAATGGAGCAGAGGTCCATCAGTGGCTATTAGCCACAAGGTATAGATAGGGGCTCTGGGGCAAGTGATGCTCTGTCTTCTTGGTGCTTTGGGGGGGGTCAACAGTGGGAGGGCTTCTAATGTCCTGGCCCCACTGGTGGACCTCCTGATGGCACCTGGTATTTCTGGCCACCGTGTGACACAGAGTGTTGGACGGGATGGGCCTTTGGCCTGATCCAACATTGGCGTCTCTTATGTTCTTATGTTCTAATAGAGGAGTGCACTTCACATACAGGTTGCAAATACTGTCCACTGGGCCTAACTGGCCTGCCATGATGTCACACTGACTCATTGCAGCCCTCTGGGTGTTATTGACCCCGATAATTTGATGTCACAGAGAAGTTGCCCAGTGTAATGCCAGGCTGCCAACCTACGGGGAGAATGTAGAACTGAAGCTCCAAGGCTTACAAACGATAGAATTACTATACTTTGGAAGAGGACTTGCAATAGAAACAAATGCCACGCGATGGCTAGGCATGTGATAATCCCATTTGCCATAAAAAGGGGGTTGAACGAAACTCAGGGTACAATGTCTGCTCAGAGTACAGCTTGATACATCTTCAAATTTTTATTTTTGAAACACAGGTTGGGATCAAGATATGGCTGAATAAAAATGGACATGTGTTGAATTCCTTCTTAGGAGTGTGGTGTGGTGGCTCGAGTGTTGGCCTAGGATCTGGGAGACCCAGATTCAAATCCCCACTCTGCCACAGAAGCCTGCAGGATGTCCTTGGGCCAGACACACAGTCTCGGCCTAAGCTACCTTAGAGGATTATTGTGAAGATAAAATGGAAGAGGGCAGAATGATGTGAGCTACTCTGGGTCCCCGGTGGAGTAAAATAAAAAAATGAAAGTAAAAAGTAAACAGTGAATTAAACATTCGCTGGTCTTGTTGCATTTATGCGCCTTGACGTCTAGTCATGCTGGCCATATGACCACAGAAACGTCTTCAGACAGCGCTGGCTCTTCGGCTTGGAAATGGAAATGAGCACCGCACCCCTAGAGTTGGAGTCGACTGGCTATCGAGCAAGGGAAACCTTTACCTTTTAGTTCATTGACTGCATCCAGAGATACCGGGGAAAAGCCATGGTTTGTCATTACAGGAGCCAATCTTAGACATCCTCAGGTTCATGACAGTTTCAGATGTCAAGATAATTTAGGTTCTGTTGGGAACCAGGATATTTAAAAACATGAATTGCATTCCAATGGAGAAAGGAAGGAAGGCATGGACCTGGGAACTTCCACAGCATATGCCCGTTACTGCAAACCACGGTTCGTTTCCGTGTCTGAATACAATCACAGAAAATGGTACCTTTTGACTTCTGTTGTTACAAGACTCTCTTCTGGCCCAGATGCCCCCATTCTACCCTCTTTGCAACAGCCCAAGAGAGCTACCAATATGGCTGAAGTTAAAACCATCCCAGACATTTCTTTTTTGCCATCAAGTCAGAGCTGACATAAAGGCAAAAGATGTTCAGAGGTGGTTTGTCATTGCCTGCCACTGTAGACCCTGGACTTCCTTGGTGGTCTCCCAACCAAATACTAACCAGGGCTGACCCTGCTTATCTTCTGAAGAACTGATGCAATCAGGATAGCCTGGGCTATGCAGGTCAGGTATTCAGAATTCCTGCCCTTCTTCTACTTAACTTTATCTGTATAAAACTATAGAAGCAAACAGGATGTTATTTATGCCTTTGTTGCTATGAAAGCAAAGATATCATTGATTCTTATCAAGCCTCTAATGAACTGCCAAGGTATCAAAATGTAATTAAAATAACAAAATTAGCTTAACTTTAACAACTGCACTAAATAGTGACTTCAACGGTGGAGCCAAACAAATCCGCTCGCTCTCTCCCTCTCTCTTTTCTCCCCCCACCCCCGCCTTTCACTCTACTGCTAATTCTGAAGTGTAATTGCATAATTACCCATCTCTTTTGCACGAATGGAGCCCTGTTTACTGCACTGACTGATGCTGATGGAATTACAAAAGGATCCACATTCAAAACCCAGCAAGTGATTGCAAAAATGCCTATACAAAATGAAAAGCTATGTACAGCTAACCCCAACACATCTGCAACACAAACAACCTTTAAGCACTTGGAGCAGAAGGAGTAATTTCTACTCAATGAGTGGATATCTTTCTAGGCACTTCGATATGCAGGACCGAGGTCAAAATGGCAGCAGACTGTTGTCTTCTAAGTGGACTATGGGAACCCCATAGTAGCTAGAGCTGAACCTGAATCTGTGCTTTCCAAAGGTAGAACTGAATCCAGAACATCAGGGCAGAGAGTAATAGTGCAATCCTAAGCAATGTTACACCCTTCTGGGTTAATAGAATCAATGGCCCTTGTTGTTGTTGTTCAGTCACACAGTCGAGTCCGACTCTTCGCGACCCCATGGATCATCTCCCGCCAGGCCCTCCTGTCTTCCACCGTCCTCTGAAGTTGGCTCAATTTCATGTTCGTTGCATCGATGACACTGTCTAACCATCTCATCCTTTGCCGTCCCTGTCTTCTTTGACCTTCAATCTTTCCCAGCATCAGGGTCTTCTCCAGGGAGTGCTCCCTTCTCATTTGGTGGCCAAAGGATTTGAGCTTCAGTTTCATTATCTGGCCTTCCAGGGAACAGTCAGGGTTGATTTCTTTTAGGATTGACTGATTTGATCTTTTTGCAGTCCAAGGGACTCTCAAGAGTCTTCTCCAGCACCATAGTTCAAAAGAATCTATTCTTCGGCGCTCAGCCTTCCTTATAGTCCAACTCTCGCAGCCATACCTGACTACTGGGAATACCATTGCTTTTACCATGCGGACTTTTGTTGGCAGGGTGATGTCTCTACTTTTTATCATGCTGTTTAGGTTCACCATCGCTTTCCTCCCAAGGAGCAGGCGTCTTTTAATTTCATGGCTGCAGTCACAGTCTGCAGTGATCTAGAAGGCTGTAACTCTGCTTAGATTGTCCTGGAATCATAGAATCATAGATTTGGCACGGACTTCCAGGGTCATCTAGTCCAACCCCCTGCACAATGCAGGAAATTCACGGCTACTCCCCCCCCAATACCCAGTGACCCCTGCTCTGTGCCCAGAAGATGACAAAAAACCCAAAAAACCCTTCAGGATCACTGGCCAAACTGGCATGGAGAAAAAATGCTGCCTGACCCCAAATTCACAATCAGCATTTCCCTGGGTGTGTAAGAAAGGGCCACAAGGAGTAAGCACAGATGCAACCCTTCCTGCCCTCCTTTTCATGATCTGCCAAAGTTCACAGAATCAGCATCGCTGTCAGATGGTCATCTAGCCTCTTTTTAAAAACCTGCTAAGCAAGTAGCTAGAAAAGGCCAATAACAGGAATTCAAGGCAGAGTAAGTGGGCTCAAGGAGGCTTATGGAAGTTGCACTACAGGGGAAAGCAGTGAAGAACAATGGGCTGGAAAATCCCAGGGCTGCAAGCCTCCAGGTGGGACCTGGCAATCCCCCAGAATTACAGCTCATCCAGACGAAAGCAATCAGTTCCCCTGGAGAAAAAGGATGCTCTGGAGAGTGGACTCTGTGGTGTTGTATCCCACTGAGGTCCCTGTCTTCCCCCAGACTTCATCCTCCAAACTCCAGGAGTTTCCCAACCTGGATCTACCATCCGTACCCTCCTATCACCCACTAGTGGCCAGGGGGGGCCTGGCAACCCTTTCCAAGACTGGAAGATCAGATGATGGACCCATTGAAGTCAGCACATCTTCAGTAGTCCCATCTCTGCTTCACCCCAAGTACTTACAGGTACAGTTAGGGTGTCAGTTCAGAAAACACCCAGATGGTCTAGACTTTCCAACAGAGCCATCAGGGTTGGACTTCAGGTAGAAGCCCAGGGCATGGCTTGGGGCCTCAGCAAGGGCCTCCAGAAGCAGGCTTTTCAATTGAACTATACATTACTTTCTAAAGGGAGGGAACAACAAGATTTAAACTGAAGTGTAGAGTTACTTAACTCTACAACTGGGTCTCCTTACTCTCATCTCCTGATGCTTCAAGATGAATGGAGCAAAGGACCATCTCTTCCCATATGTCCCTGTGTGTCAACTATGGTCATCAGCAGGGGTCATTTAGTAGAAAAAGAGGTGCAGGAGCTCATTAGAATAACTTATTAGCATAACTTATTTGCATATTCCACACCCCTGACATCACTGGAAATGTGTCAGAAGGCAACACCCACCGCTCAGGTTCCACTGGACTGTTTTGGATTGCTAGCTATTGGGGGGGGGGACATGCAGATCTGCCCTCACAGAGGAGGGAGAGCTTGTACCTGAATAAAACTTGCTCTTAAAGGTGCCACTGGACTGTTTTGAATTGCTAGCTATGGGGGGGGGGCGTGAAGATCTGCCCTCACAGAGGAGGGGGAGCTTGTACCTGAAGGCGGGCCGGGGGGGGGCTCTGCAACTTACCTGGCTGCTTCTTGCTCCTCGTGGCCCAACTGAGGGCTGCTGGGAGCAGGGGGTGGGGCTTGTTGCATGTGCCCATCCCCTGGGCTCCTTACTGCCGGAGCTCCGCTCCTGTGTGCTCCTGCAGGAAATGACCTCTGGTCATCGGACAGCCAGCAGTTGGCTATCCCACCACTTAGGGTGGCCTGTCTCACATGAACCAGAGCCTGGATGCTTTCCATCACGGTTCTGGCTTTGTGGAGTGAGGTCCCTGGAGAGGGGAGGGGGGCCTCCTTTTTGGAGACTTTCAGGAGGTACCACAAGGCCTGCCTGTTTGCCAGGGCTTTTGAGGAGGGAGGGGGGAGAGATCTGGGGTTGGCTATTTTAGTTTTGGTTTTAGACTGAGAATGTTTTAACTATTATTGTAATGCCACCTTGAACCTTGAGGAAAGGCAGGATCTAAATGTTTTAATAAATAAATAAAGAAAAAGTAAGAGAAAATACACAGAAATAGCTTCTTCTTCTTTTTGCAGGCATAGTCTGTGTAATGGATTAGAACCTGGGACACCCACATTCAACTCCCCAGTCATCCATGAAGCTCATTGGGTGCCACTGGACTCTAAATTTGTTCTACTGCTTCAGAACAACACAGCTGACCACCTGGGTGAACTTAGGCGCAATGCTCCCTCTAAGCTGTGGAGTCTTGTGAGCAAAAATTCTACTTTGTGAGCTACTGACATTAAAGTTGTGAGCAAGTGATTTGACTGCTGCAGAACTTAGTTTGCGCCGGAGCCATCCTTCCTGAGCTAAGACAAAAATGTGTGAGCCAGAGGCTAATGACCTGTGAGCTAGCTCACACTAACTCAACTTAGAGGGAACACTGCTTGGGTGTGACAGTTTCCCTCAGCCTATTGTGGGGGCAGAATGAAGGAAGGGAGAGGCACATAGGCCACCCTGGTTCCTGCAGAGGAAGGATAAAGATGGATGATAGGCACAGAGCAGCACCTTTCTTCTTAGTGCTCACCCTACACCCATCCCAGCCATGCTAATATAGATGGGCCAATGGTTTGCACTGATGCGGGCATGAGGGAGAACGTGCATGGTTTTGTTGAATTTGTGATTGGTGTCATGGTAGAGCCAGGGAGACAGGCAGACAGGGGGAGTCACAATACAAGTCCAAAGGTCAGCCGGGAGAGCAGTCAGCAGAGCGTTAAACAAGTCCCAAAACACCAGACAAAGCCGTAGTCAAACGTTACCAGAGGTCAGAGTACAAGGAGCAAAGCTGAGGGCGTGGTCAGGTTCAAAGCTGGAAGTCAGGAGCCAGAGCAGTCCAAATACAAGCCGAGTCCAAAAGCCACAGAGTCAAACAGGAATCAAGGTGCAGAGCTTCTGGTTCTACAAACAAGGTTGCCAGCACAAATTGCTCATGGCCAGAGGCCCTACTAAATAGTGCTCTGGCCCATTAACTCATTAGCACCTTTGTGTGAGGTCCTGGCTGCTGTTAAAACTCAGGGCTCAAGGATCTCCACCCTCTTGAACGTGCTTCTTTTCGTAGGCTAGCCAGCTCCTGACGTCTCTGATCCCTAAGCCTACTTACAGGTGGGGGAGATGCAGGTGGTGAGCTGCTTATGGCTTGCTCAATTCCAGGTGCAAACCGTCCTGTAGTTGACTCAGATTGCTGTGTATCCTCCTCAGTACTTACAGTAGGTGCAAATCCTGATGCTTCTTCAGCTCTTAAAGGCACTGAATCCTCCCCTCTTAGGCTGTCAGGAGCTGGCTCTGGGGCTGAGTCAAGGGCAGGCATGACAATTGGTATGGAGGGCCAGATATTTTACCATTGGACAGATTGATGATATTCTGGAGCACATCCCTTTAACATTTTTCAGTTCGTACCTTAGGCCAAAAAACTGCCCTGAGGTAAAGGAAGAAACGTTCCCCTGATCCCTGGCAGCTGTGAGACAGGATAGATGTTCTGTCGTAGTCCTCCCTTCACTAGGACAAGAAAGAATTGTTCTGCATGCCAATTATTTTTCATCACGAAGGGCATTAATTAAAATAATAATGGACCTATTAGTTTAATAAGTTACCTATAAATGAGTTAAGGAACGCACAAATGGATAATGAGGTATCCATGAGACGAATAAAGCACCGACACACTTCATGTGCTTCCAAAGTGTATAACAGGGATAACAAGGCAGAGAGGACTTTCCCCCCACTGTCTGGAGTTGGGGCGAGTGGTGGAGCAACCTGGGTGTGCTGTGACCCAGCAGCCGGAGAGGACAGGCCTATGCCTGGACTCGCCAGCTCCGACAACTCATGGGATGGGAAAGTGGCCGGGAAGGCAGGCAGCGCTGCAGATGGCCCTAATGCCTGGACATCCCAGGAGCCCACCTCCGCCAGGTCTGGAGCAGAAACTAGGCTTGCCAAGTCCCCCCGGGGGGGTGGGGAAACCCCTGCCCCAGAGGCCCGTTCCCCACCGCCGCTGGATCGGGCCCCGGGGGGAACTCCACCCCGACGTGCACGTCACCAGGAAGTGACGCAACCACACCGGGTACACTGGGGGCGGGGCCATGGTCATCTGAGGGAAAACTCCATGGTTTTCCCTTGGATGGTCATGGCCCCACCCCCAGCGTGCCCAGCACCATCACGTCACTTCCTGGTGACGTGGATGTGGCGCGCACACCCTCCGGGATCAGCCCGGGAGTCCCCCGCTCCGGAACAAGGTGAGACTTGGCAACCTTAGCAGAAACACCAGGGCAACTCACTTGGGGCAATAGCAGGCCCCAGGTGTCATTGGGCATGGACCATGGTGGAGTCCAGCCCTGGGAACAAGACAGTGGCAGCAGCAGAGGAGGCAGCCAGGAACAGATGGGAGCTGAGAGTAGTCCATCCGACGCTCCCTGCAGCTGGGCCAGAACAGGCAAGGGCGGGGTGGGCATGGAAGATGCTCAGGGGTGGGGCGGCACCTGGGACTGAGCCAGGAAGCTCCGAGCCAACCCCCATAGTGCCAGGAGGAAGGACAGAGGAGGCAGCCACTCACCAGGGATGGGGGCAGGGTAAACAGGTGGAGGGAGGAAATAAAATGGGGCTCCTGCTGACAGGTGGAGGAAGAAGAGAGCTGCCCAGTCCAGGCCATCAAGGGGACCAGACGGCTGAGAGGAGAAGGAACAGGGTGAAATAAAAGTCCATCCCCTCTCTCTCCGAGGCCTTGAGGGAGCTCTTCTGGAGTCAAGGCACCACGGTGGAGGAGAGCACACCCCCAGGGGGGCAGGCAGTGCGTGACATTCATACATATTCTCTAGAGCAGTGTTCCCTCTAAGCTGAGTTAGTGTGAGCTAGCTCACAGTTTTTTAGCCTCTGGCTCACACATTTTGGCCTTAGCTCAGGAAGGATGGCTCCAGAGCAAACTAATTCATGCAGTAGCCAAATCACTCGCTCACAGCTTTAATGCCAGTAGCTCACAAAGTAGAATTTTTGCCCACAGGACTCCACAGCTTAGAGGGAACATTGCTCTAGAGTAGTGGTTCTCAAGCTTTAGTATTCCAAAGACTCCCATTTTGCTTTAAACATTTTTCATAGACTACCTTTCTTCCTGCCTTCCTATCACAAGCCAGACAGCTCCCCCTCCGCCTTGTCTGTCTCTCTTCTGAAATCTTTTGCATTGTGAACACCAGAGAGATTTATGGAAGTCCTAGAGTCACTGACACCATGACATCACTTCAGCCTGCTCAACCAGAAGTGACATTGTGACATTTGTGATGCTCCCCCTCTCCAGGCTCCGCCCCCAAATTGCTCCTGGGGACTGCAAGTGGAGGACAGCCAACTGTACTTGTCAGATGTCCTAAAATGGCTGAACGTGTTCCAAGAAGACTCTTTGTTGTTATGCCAGGCTATTCCTGTAGTACCCTGGCACACAAACTGCCTGGTGTTCTCAAAGGCTATTGCAGCGTCAAGGCTTAGAATGTGTCCCCCCAAAAGCCTAGATGGATCCCACTCAAAGGCCATGTTTTCATAACCACTTTTGGCAGACTAAATTAGGAGGCTTCAGACATCAAGACAGAAATCCACACTGTGATGTCTAAGTCCAATTCTGGATAAGAATACTGATCAGGATTTGAGGCCTTACCTCAGGTTTGCTCTCTCAAGAAGGCTGACATCATGTCTCCTTGAAAACTATTTTGACAGCCTTGGAATGAGAAGGAGCCACACAAGTGCAAGGAATTCATAATAATTCAGTCAGGCTGCAGATTTGTAAGAGCTTGCTCAAGCTTTTACAGCTAAAGGCACCTTTCAGTACTTAACCGTTTCATCAAGTCCTCCCAGTCCTGTATGCAAGGAGCTGAATTCCACTTTCGAAGCCATTTCATGCCAAAGGAGAACTTACAGCTGAGAAAGCAAAGGATACAGGACTTTGGAGCTTTCGGGAATTGTGAAAAATCAGATGGATCCCCCCTCCCCCCCCCATAAGCATCACGTGCCCATGGCTTGCAGTCTTCAAACAAATGAGCTTCCCATTTGGATTGATTCCCCCCCACCTCCTCTTGGTATGCAGACTATGAAACAAGCCCTGTTTGGGGACACTAGCTCTGGGCTACGGAAATCAATGAGGGTTATGTTTATGAGAAAGGAGAATGAGGTACAGAAATGCAGTTTCTGTGCCCTTTAGCCGATTGGCAGTAATGGACGATGAAGTATTTCATGGACATGATGCGCAGGGAGAGGAAATCACCGTAATCCCAACGTGGAAGTCATCCCTTTTGCCAGGCAACTCCTGTCATGGCTTTCTTTGTTCAACGGAAGGAGCTAGTAGGAGTGGGTACTCAGGAGCCCACCTGGAAGTGGGCAGCTCTAAGCTGAAAGTATCTTGTGGCCCTAAAACTCACTTAACTATCATCACAATTAAACAAAATGAGACAACCTCTAGCTTTTGTTTTCCCAAAGGGAAACCATCAGCCATTGCCTCTTTATCCCATCACGGCTTGGTGCAACTGAACATTGTTTATACCAAGCACAATCTAACCAAGGTTGCCAGTTCTGGGTTGAGAAATACCTGGAGATTTTGAAGGGTGGAGCCTGAAGAGAGTGGGGTTGGGGAGGGGGGGCACCTTAGCAGGGTATCACGCACAGAGTCCACCTTCCAAAGTGGCCATTTCCTCCAGGGGAGCGGATCTTGGCCATCTGGAGATCAATTGTAATAGTAGGGGGTCTCCAGATGCCCCCGGGAGATTGGCAATAGGGTTGCCAAGTCCATTTTAGCCCCCAGCGGGGGACTTTGGAGGGGCGTTCCTGGAGGGGGCGGGGCATCCCTGACATAATGACGTCACATTGGGGACGTCCACCCCTCTGCCCGATGGGTGCGCGGGGAAATGTAAGGTTGCCAAATGGGGCCGGGGGGGCGGGGAATCGGGCCCCAGGGAAACCCCCGCCCCCGAAGCTGCGTCACCAGAGGTGACGCAGCCACGTTGCTGACGTTGGGGGCGTGGCTGAGCTCGTCGGGGGGGGAACCATATGGGAAAACGTCGCACGTCACTTCCAGTGACGCAGCATTGGGGACGTCCACCCCTCTGCCTGATGGGTGCACAGGGAAATGTAGGGTTGCCAAATGGGGCCGGGGGGGCGGGGAATCGGGCCCCAGGGGAACCCCGCCCCTGAAGCTGCGTCACCGCTACGTTGCTGACATTGGGGGCGTGGACGAGCTTGGCCACGCCCCCAACGTCAGCAACGTCACACGCCACTTCCGGTGACGTGCTGCCGGCGCGCGCACGCGCCCATCAAGACCTCCCGGATGCCAGCAAGGCTCCCCCGCTCCGAGGGGTGAGTTGTCTTGGCAACCCTAGGGCAATACCAGCTCCCTGCACTTAAAGGGGCCCCTTTAAGTGCAGGGTGCTGGAAGGTTTTGCATTCCCGATCTCCGCTTGGAGATCCGGCACGTGGGAAACGCCAGCTCCCAGCACTTAAAGGGAGCCCCTTTAAGTGCAGGGAGAAGGGAGAGGGGTGGCTGTGGGTGTTGGGGCTTGGGGGCGGGGCTTCCCCCATCGGCCAGCTGGCTGGTGGCGGGTAGAACCTCCAAAAAAGCGGTGGATCCCTACCAAACCGAGGGGTTTGGCAACCCTAATTGGCAACCCTGATCTAACCAAATTAGTCTAATGAGACGACTTCTTCCATTACTCCTTTAGAGTTATGACAATGGGTTTTCATTCAGTTGAAGGAGCGAGTTAATCACATCGGTTTGAGAGAAAACTATAGTACTAAAGAAAATTAAACATATTTTCTTTTATCTGTAACAACAGATGTAACCTTAGAAGAAGAGTTTTGTCTGGTGGGTGACAGACACAGGGAAAGGTCTCTTCCTAAGGGAGTGCTGCAATTCTTAAAGTATTTGCATTTGAAATAATTACCTTTTCCAAAAATCTACTGTCAGATTAGTTAGGAGCATACATTTAATGAGTCTGAAGTTATGTTTAATAATTCATCAATCAATCGAGTAAAAGGTTGCATTCCTACAGCAGCCAACTACATCCTGAGTTTCTACTAGGGCTGCCAGCTCCGGGTTGGGAAATACCTGGAGATTTTGGGAGTGGCGCCCGAGGAAGGCAGGATTTGGGGAGGGGAGGGGCTTCAATGGAGCATAATACCATAGAGTCCACCCTCCAAAGCAGCATTTCCTTCGGGGGAACGGATATCTGTTGCCTGGAGATCCACTGTAACAGCGGGAGATCTCCAGCCATCACCTGGAGGTTAACAACCTTTGAAGAAGAATTTCGTGGAACTCAAGAGTTTACGCACTGCACTGCTTTGTCAATATTGTCCTTATAAAGGCATAAGCTACTTTCTTGGTTTGTTTCTAAATACTTGCACAGCTTATTTTATTTTATTCATTGTTTCTGAGTAGGTATGCAGGCCTTTCAGTTACAGAAGACGGCATGCTTGAGTTGGAAAAGAAACTAGCGTTTCCCCCAGAGCTACACCGTAAAAGCATCTTGCCTTCCCTCATCAATTTCCCCTCCCTCATTCATTTGCAATTTTATTGACCGCTTTTAAGGCAATTATGTTATGCAGAAGTCACAGAGAGATCGAGGATTTAGAGGAACCAGCATACAAAAATACTACAGCAAAGGGGTAGTAAAGGTTTATTAATGTGATCATAATTTGTACTATTGTGCAGATGTATCCCACCAGGAATGGTAATAAATGTTTAATAGCCCAATAATACCTGTTTAATAATTTTCTGAGCTCATTCCTGCCTAATTGCAAGTTTATTAAAGAACGATAAACTTTATAATGCCGTAAAGTCATTATTGCGTTTCCAACACTTATTTAATATTGAGTTAATTATATTACAACTAAGTTATTTTTCCCATACATATTAAATATCAATTAGTTGTTTTAAACTATTGATTTGTATTTAATTAACTATGCTATTATATACCAATTAAATTCTTATAAGAAAAGCCGAAACAGCTGGTCTTTCAAATTAATTTTTTTAAAGAAAAGCATAGTGTGGAAATAAATTACACATTTATTATTATATCACAGTTTCTTTCCACAGTGATGAATATTCAGAAGTTACAGCAAGATTGAATAGTTGCACTTTACTACCATGTGGAAGTTACTAAAATGGAAGGGCTTACTGGTTGGAAATTGAACAAAGTTTGAGTCCAGCGGTTCCTTTAAGACTGACAAAGTTTAATACTGGGTAATAGCTTTCATGTGCATGCACACTCATGCACAGGAAAGCTTGTACCCAGAATTAAACTTTGTCGGTCTTAAAGGTGTTGCTGGATTCAAACTTTGTCTTATT